ATGATATTTGGAATTGCTGCGACATACAATGTGGAAAAAGGGGCATGAAGAATTTTGCATTCGTCCGATAGGCAAAAGAGAAAAAGAGATTCACCTTGATTAACCCACATCTCTAGCTGATGTAAACGGGTTACATAGCAGAGAATGGGTTTTGATAATAGCGGAGGAGAGGTTTAGCTCTTTAAAAAAATGAGAAATAGTGGAGATCCACGTCAAGAAAAAGAAAATGAAGAAAAGTTATCATTTACTACTTGCTGTATTGCCAAGACATGATGGTCCACGCCCTGAAGGAATACGACGCATATAAAAAGAAGAGGCCACGTGATCGTGTTGTGTGGTTTCCATTAGTTTCCAAAAAATGATACTTGCTCTTTACACAAGCAACTTCTGTCATCATTTTGGTTCTTCTTTTAACGCAGAAGAAAAAGAAGAAGAAGAATTTATAAACAATTTCTAATTTATTTTTTTTTTAAAATGTATATAAAGTCACTAGCCTTCACGTAGACTCAAAATATATCTGGAAGTTACGCTTGAAGCGTCCGTTTACTAAAATCTCTTTCCCAATTGAGCATTACCAAGCGCTTCTAGTTGAAGTGTGTCATGAGATCATTATACATAGAAAGATTTCTTATTGAAAGATTTTTTATTATACATTAACCATCACCATGTACAAGTGCCAAGGACCACTCGAGGTAGACGTTTACAATAAAACAGTTTATGCGGATTGGAGGGGGCGATAACGGTTAATTCTAAATTTGAACAATTTAAGATTGTAGTAATCGGCGAAACATCCTGTTTGGGAGACGGTTTCACAGAACAATGGCTCGTAGAATGAAGATGTCTGAGTAGAATTTACTTCTCACTAAAGAAATATAAAAGGAATAAGGATGATTTGCTACAAAGTGAATGAGAGGGCGGGTCCTATTTACGTAGGTTAGAACTGACGGAACCATGAAATGTGGTTCGTCAAAGCACTTACAATGGATGTAGTGATAGAGTAGTAAGAGTCTTTTCATATCCCGCTTGTGAGGAGAAGTTGGAGGATGGGAAACAACTTGTCACCGACAGGAACTCGGAGACGTTTTCGGACTCCATCGAGAGTAGAAAGTGAGGACTAGGCAACTAGTATATATTTTACGACGTTTCACAGATATCTACATTCATTTCGTAAAAACAACTTGCCTTGGCACGATGTCCAGCAATCTTTTTTGCATAACCGTTCGATAGTACCTTCTCTTGAATCCTAAATCAGTTGACAGATAATTTTCTGACAGTGTGGTAAAATAATATTCTGCTCTCGTAGGTTATGAAGCCACAAGAATTTTTTTTATTTCTCGCTTAAGCCTGACACCACGACCTATTGGAACTTCAAGTCCGATTTTAATCATGTGTGGGTTGAAATACAGTTTTGTGTTTCATGCATTGTTTAGGCTACTCTGTGGCTACCTGACTGCTTGTACCTGTCTATGTGCATACAAGGGTGTATGTATGTGCGTGTGATTTGGGAGTCATTTTAGAAACAACATTGAAAGCTTACAGCCGCTATGTTTATAGAGAAAAAGGAAAACGTTTCGAATCAAAGAGACAATAAATTTCAATTTTCACGTGAATACTGCTTGAACCAAAAAATGCTTTGGGATAGTAAATGGATTGAAAAATGACAATTTGAATCTAAAACAAGGTTGGATCGAACTTTTTTAAAAAAAAAATTACATCACATTTACAGGAAGGACAACCCCGGACATGGCTCGGCAACCACTCGACGTAAACGGTTATGTAAATAGGAATAATTCTCTCGAATCAACCTTGAAAGAAAATATCAAAAATTTTAATTTTTGGGAAATGGAAAAGAAACGTCGGATATGTGCAGCAACAACAAACTACGAGACGCACATTTTCATGTGCCATTTCACCTCGGACGTAGGTGATCATGGCTCTCCACAACTTCATGTTTCTTAATATTTTTTTCTTTCTGTCAGTCATACGAAACAGTTTCGCCACCCATTTACTGAAGTCTATCCTGCGTTGATTGACTCTGTCCCTGTTGCTCTGTATATCTACTGTGAGTATCAAATTTTCCAAGTCTTCTTTTCTCATTATGTGAAACCTCAAATATCTCTTCCTGATGTTAAGTATGTTTCCTTTTTGATTCCTTTTTCTCTAAAACTTCGTTTATGCTCACATATTTAGTTTATGTTATCCTTCTATACAACCACAACATGAAATAATAATTAGGGATGCTAGTCGAGTTGGTTTTTTTTTTGGTTTTTTTTTTCATTTCGGTGGTGAGTTTAATGCTTGCCGGGCATATTGCATCTGTGATCAAACTTGCTTAATCTAAGAGCCACATGCGATAAGTTCAGATGTTTGATAGCCGCAAGATATGGACAAAATTTACACGCAAGTTTTTCTCTACAGGCAAACCGCCAATGTCCTGCTATCAGACCGCCTATAGCAGCGCCAGCGGTCTTCTGGGAGCAGTCACCGGCAGGCCACCTCCGGGTCATCGATGGGTTTCTAACGGTCTGCCTGTGGTAACATTGCCGAGAGGAACACATCAGCGGTCCGACACCGGCGGTAAACACCAGTGACAGGCCACCCAGAGGCAGATTGGTGACTTACGTGTAGAGTTAATACATACATATTTTCTTGCAAAATGTTTATATAAATATTAAGAAAATTTTGAATACAATATTTAAGCATGTGTGCGGATTTTTAAACTCTGAATTTGCACTGGTTTCAGTAAACACAATGTACATATATATTTATGCCAAAAGTTTTCAAAATCTTGACTGATTATTGTTTTAACAATATTGAGCGAATTTAATACGACAATTAACTACGGCGAATTCTAAGAAGAATATGGGAAATTTCATTTCAGTAAAATAAAATTAGACAGACGAAAAAACCACTAAAATGGGAAAAATAATGATATTTATTTATCTTAGTAAATAGCTGGTCAAATCATGGAGGAAAATATGTAAAAAAAAAAAGCAAACTAATAAAATTAGTGATACTGCAATTCTCCATGTATAACACGCCTTCATCCATAATACGCACTCCCAAAAGTGTGCTGAAAATATTGAATAATGCTTCTACTCATGCATAATAGCCACTCCTTGTTTGGTAATCAAACCCTATAAATTATTCCTCTCCAATTTCATTACGGCCAGCGTTTCCTACTCTTATTAAACAGAGAATAATATTATTCTAATTAGGTTTTATGATAATTCTTTTTTTATCTTACATTTTTAAGTATTATGAGGTATATATTACTGTATTTGACATCCTTATGAGGTCGCAATTGCGAATGTTAGTGTCAAATTGTCGTATGTTTGTGGTGTGTAGACATTTCGCAATAGAAATCGACCTATGAGGCGGCAAATTTTAAAATATTTTTTGTAGCTCTGCATAATACGCACCACTAATTTTGCTTATTATTTTTTAGGAAAAAATGTGTACTATACATGGGGAATTACGGTATTTTAATCAGATAACCTCTTATAAAATTACAGTCTTATCATAATATCAAACAAACCATGCTAAAAATATTTTTTATTCCACCATTCCTTCCGTCAACATTAAGGAATAATACCTCACAAAGATCTCGCATTAAAATTAGGATGTAAATTCTTAAATATTTTTATTAACCATAAACATTAAACTTAAGTTTAAATCCAGTTAGGTTACAATTCATACCCAGTAAATAATTATAAAGCCTGAAATATTTCTTAGCTACTTTTTTTATATTAACTGTGATGAAAAAAGGAGCTCAGTGAACATATTTCCACGAGCCGCATATCAAAGGTCAAAGAGCCGCATATTAAAGGTCAAAGAGCCGCATGCAGGTTGCGAGGCGCGGTTTGGCCACTCCTGGTGTATTTAGTGTAAGTGTAGAAGGAAAATATAGAGTAATCTATCTAACGGACTTGTTCGATTGGTTGGCAGAAAAAGTGCTGTGAACAATAGTAAGTGTATAACCATTGCTTAGAGGTAATATGATAGAAGAGACACGTTTTTTCATATCCCATTAGGGGCAAGGCATAAAAATGTTACTAAAGGCCACACCCGGAAACAAATATTCCTAATTAAAACAATTTTTTTAAAAACAAAAGATAAATATACTGGCCTTAATTTTTTATAGCAATATCGAGTTATCACTAACTCATTCGGGTATAGTGATTTTCCAAGTGTAGCTTAGATGTGACACAAGGCCGAAAATAGGGGACACACTAGAGGATCGAACTCGCACAATTGTAACAGTTCTAGCGAGACAAGTTTGCTAACTATTACACCGCCTCGATGTGTCCATAATATGATCTTCTAAGCCTAGATTAGATGTGGCACATGGCCGAAATCGTGAAGTACCCAATGAGGATCGAACTCTTTATTCAGTCGTAATAAATCTACTGAAGCTTGATTGTTAACCAATACACTACGTTGAAATGTCCAACTCATTCGGGTGTATATTGTAGACATGTTGCCTAAATAAGAAAATCTTTACAAAGAAATGTGCACCCCTGTGCGTGGTAATGATTAGCTAGGCTACACCTGTCCACTAACAAGTAGTGAGTTCGATCCTTGCTGGCTGCCACATACCTGTGAGCTTGTGCCAAGTCTAATAATGGTTTTGTAAAGCATTACTAAAAGATCGTCAGATGTAACATCCGCCCTCGTGGAAGCTTGTTTCTTGAAAGATTTCGAGTGTGTTGTCAACTATAACATTATACGATGGCTCATTTGCAGCCTTACGACAAATTCAGATATTCACATCACATTCTCTGGAGAAATTAATTGTGTATCTGGCGTACGTAGCTGCGAATCTCGAAATTCTATTGATAATGAGGGTGATAATCGGTGAATGCTATGAAGTCATTTGATGATGCAGGAAGAAAATATCGAATCAAAAGGAAGTTGCATTATTCACATTTAAATTCTGAAATAGTTTAGTTCTAAACCGAAATATTCGTACTTCAGACGTGGAAATCAACGGGGTGTAGACTATCTATCTATCTATCTATCTATCTATCTATCTATCTATCTATCTGTCTATCTATCTGTCTCTATCTATCTATCTGTCTGTCTGTCTGTCTATTTATCTGTCTCTCTGTAGGCCAGCATGCCTGTCTTTCTCTCTATCTATCTATCTATCTATCTATCTATCTATCTATCTATCTATCTATCTATCTGTTTTGTCTGTCAGTCTGGCGGTCTATTTATCTGTCTCTCTGTATGCCAGCCTGCCTGTCTTTATCTATCTATCTATCTATCTATCTATCTATCTATCTATCTATCTATCTGTCTGTCTGTCTCTATCTATCTATCTATCTATCTATCTATCTATCTATCTGTCTGTCTGTCTGTCTGTCTATTTATCTGTCTCTCTGTAGGCTAGCCTGCCTGTCTCTATCTATCTATCTATCTATCTATCTATCTATCTATCTATCTATCTATCTATCTATCTATCTATCTATCTATCTGGATACGTGGTTAGAACGTTCGCTTTCTGACCATGAGACCCGGTTTCGCATCTCACTATGGACGATTTGTCAAAAAAAAGACTTCCTGATGTTATCGGTCTGGAGGAGGGACGATTCCAGCGTGCGTCACCTTTGGAAAGTGCCTGTAAAGAATACGACGGTTGGACCCAAGCCTTGCGACTGAAATTGGGTAGACGTAACACTTGGGACCGATGACCGTGCTAGCATGAAATCCCAAGTCATTGTGACCGAGGGTTTCAGTGTACTCGTGTTGTTCAAATTGTTGATCATTCTAGATAACACGCACTCTCCTAGAAACTATAACTAATAAATAATAAATAGTTGCAGTATAAACCAGAGGTGGGCTCTATGGGTGTTGAACAAACACAAATGTTCCTGAACGAGAGTTTTCAATAGATATTGGCTAGTCGCTCTAGTAGACGGTTATCGTCGAATACGAATGGCCAGCTATCTATCATCTATCTATCTATCTATCCATCTGATCAAACATACAGTTTTAAATCATGCTATATTTATGGTGAAAACTGCTTAATATCAGCGATAGAATTTGAGTAAATGAAGAAGGAACACTGAGGTCAACGACGAGTGACGGCAATCTGTTTCATGCGTGAATGAAATAGTCGGGCGCACACACACACACACACACACACACACACACACACACACATATATATATATATATATATATATATATATATATATATATATATATATATGTGTGTGTGCAAATTAACGCACAATTCTGGGAATTTATTACTTAAATATCTATAAATCCGGACACGTTTAATTAAATTCAACCTACAATGCCTGTCTTTAACTTTATATTGTATTTTTTCCAATTTCTGAATAAAGATAGTATCTATTGCGATTGAAATTGTGAAGTTTCTGACCGAAGTTCAATTTTATACTGTTTTTTTTTAAGTACTTTATTGCCTATACATGGACAGCACATTGTTCTTGTAAATGACTAAGACGATCGAATGTACTTGAACAAAACTGCGCATTCCATCTCTCACCAGGATTTTACAAGGTGGCAGTAGGAACCCTGATTTATTGATTCTCTGATTAGACTATGTTTCTGTGCAAATGGGTGCCTGTATATGCGCAGAAACAACAGAAGAAAAATGTGTTTATCCACAACATACCACAAAATTATGGTGATTTTCCAGTCGTAGCTGAGATGTGGCACAAGGGCGAAAGTATGGGGTACCCAGAGAGGTTCGAACTCACTACTCAGTCGCAATAGTTCTGAGCGAGACAAGCTTGCTAACCATTACACCAACTCGAGGTACCCAATACCACAGGCTTATATCGGCATCTGGAGACATATTTCGGGTTTTATCTCATGGATTTACATAATTTTTACAAAACCCCAAATTAGTAAAAGATTAATAATTTCCACATAAGATTTTTTTTTAGTTTAGAAACTTGAGATATACGTTCGAACATTGTCAAATATCTATGTTAGGCTTGGACAACCTTTTTCGTGCAGTCGGCCATATAAGTTTGAGCAGTGCGTCTCAAACTGTCTGATATGGCGGACCGGCATTTTTTCTCAATGTGTCACGTACCTGTAATATTTTATTTTTATACTGAAATGATATATATATATATATATATATATATATATATATATATATATATATATATATATATATATAATAAAAAAGTTAATTTATTTCAGATAACACCAATTGTACCGATCGTAACAAAACCATCATTTGAACGCAAAAAGTACCAAGTTTGGTACGAAAGTACAAATTCCGATGGCCCTGGCATTTGTTGGTGGGACGTTTTCTTGAAATGATTCCTTAGCATGGCTTGGACACTGTCCGCGTACCTGTAGCTGATAGTTCGCTTACTGGCACCAGTCCGCGGACCACCAATTTGAGTATTACTGAGATAGGGAACATTATAAATCGGGCCGCACAATGAAAGTTTTCATTAAAGCTACCATAGCAATGTTCCAAACAAAAGACCATGAACATAAATATCCATTTTACAAATGGCCAAAGGTCGATTTTTCTCCTTTGGAAAAATGATTCCTTCTATAATTAAAATATATGAAATCTTGGTATATTATTACTAATGAAAGAATGATTATCGCAACTATTGCGTGTGATTGGGCACCTCGAGGTTGTGTAATGGTTAGCAAGCTTGTCTCGCTAGAACAATTACGACTGTATAGTGAGTTCGATCCTCACTAGGTGCCTCCTAATTTCGGCCTTGTGTCACATCTAAACTATGCTTGGAAAATCACTACTGCATATGATTTATTTCTAATTTGATTATACAAAAACTTTTGCAAAACAAGACATATCTTTATAAATCTAGAAAAAAATAATTATCATTGATGTTTCTTTTTCTGAGACAAATGATGCTTACGCGTATTACTATCCTTAATGAAAATCGCTAATTGGGTAAAATGTTGACACCGTTATCTTCAATAAAATGTTACAAATTTAAAGAGACATTGTTCTTATTCATTATTTATTTAAGTGCTTATGCATGAGAGTGTGTGATTAAACAGCTGATAAGAAAAGGAAATAAACAACGTTTTAATAAACGTTATCTACTCTATGATATTAGGCGTACCATTCAGAAAACCAATTGGCCTGTGGGACGCAGTTTACTCAAGACTGTGATCTATGATTTCAACGGGGGCAATTGAATGAAGACGAATTCGTTGCAGAAATGACTGCAGACCTGATCTAAATATCCCGATTTTCTTTTCGGATAATTCTTGAACACTTAGAAGTGTACGAAAAATACTCTGCTTTTCTTGTGATTTATTTTGCATATAAATATATATAAAATTTTGAACCGGGATGTGAGAGAGGCAAGATATTTATTTTATCTATGGCACGCTTGATTTTTTTAATGTTTTTTTTTTCTTTTTTGTTTGTAAATATCCATACAGTTAATGTTGATATGTTTCTGAAAACGGCAACTATTTTTGTTTTCAATGTTATCGCAAGATCATGCTGTTTATATTATTATTATTGTTATTATTATTATTATTATTATTATTATTATTATTATTTCCTTTGATTTCTGGTGATATTCATTTCTTCCCGGGTCCCAACAAGAGACCTAAAGTCATAAATAGCACAATGGAATTTTCCACTGAGCAATTTAAAAATAAATAAATAAATAAATAAACTAAGAACACACGTTTTACACATACAAAGCACTGCTTAAGGTGTGATCTGTACTTGTTTTTATGTATTTCTTTGAGGTTTTGGATACTAGAGATTCCTACAATTATTCTATCGGAACTTTTTCCAGTCAAACCGAGCATGTTGATGTCCTCACGTGGCACATTTTTGAGATTTCGATTTCAAGTTCCTTGTACTTTGTTAGTTTATTATTATTATTATTATTATTATTATTATTATTATTATTATTATTATTATTGTTTTCTGTTGTATACACATTTCCTTCAGAGGTATCGACCACAGTCCTAAGGTCAGAAATGGCATCATTACATTTTCACTGAAAATTTAAAATAAAATGTAATCATAAGATCACACAATTTACATTGATACATTCCTTCGTAATATGTGAGCTGTGTGCATGAGAACAATATGTTGTATTCCTTTATGGGCTGAGGTACCAGGGATCCCTTCCACGAGTCTGAAAGCTCTTTTTCGAATCAAACCGATGACTTCAAACACAAATAGAATTATTGATGTTTTCATGTACCATGTGTTTTAGATTTACACTTCAAGAACATTTATTTTGATAGCTTCTTGAAAATTTTCAAAGATAATTACAGTATGTTTGAAGTGCCTTGTCAATAAGAACACATTCTTTTTTATGGTCTTTGGACACTACGTCTGGGCGATTAGCGTTAATTGTTCTGTGTGTATTGTAAAGTCGAATAAATTACTACAGGTTCTTTGTTTGTATCCGGATTTGTATGGTGTTCATACGATTTTTTGCAGTTTCCTTCACGTAAATGTTGCATATTTTCCAGATAATTTCCCACTGTGTCATGCCGAGTTTTATATTCGATAGATGCTGGTACCATGCAGCAGGATCCAATTGTTTCTGGATATTAATCACAGAATGTGCATTTCGGGTTAACACAATTATACAGTATGTTTGTTGTTAATTTCTAGTTAGCAAGCATTAATACTGAGCAGTAAGGATAAAACCTTCGGTATCAGATTTTAATCATGCACTTCGGAACCACTGATGCGTACGGGACTTGATTGCACCAGATCGTTTGGTACGGCACTCAATTGGCCATGACGAGATATATCTTGGCATCCATTCTGCATTTGGTCGATTGCATTTGCCTGTACTTTTACATTATTTGTCGTCGCAGTAACTGTATTATGGATTATTTGCTCTTCACCATAATCCTGAAATTCTCTTTTGAATTTGTTGGCTTCCTTTGTTACTGAATAATATTTCTTATTTGCTTCATACAATTTGACACAGATCATCTGTCACTCTTCTGTAGTTTCTAGGTATCTTTGAGAACCGAATGTTGTAGTTTTGTAAGACAATTCTAGTTGAACTAATCATCTGCCTCCTTCGGATCTGGGCTCATATAGACGCTCAAATTATTATTAGTTGTAGTAGTATTATTAAACATTGCACTTGTTGGATGACAAGTTACATTCACACGGCCTTCGATATCCAGTACTTTTCTGATTGTTCGTAGTGTGACAAAGAAATAAGTCTTCTGTAACATATTAAAAATCACTGATAAATCTAATGCTTTCGTCTAGTGCGTAAAATTCTCTGACAATGCTCCTAATATTCTGATTGCAATAGGCACAATCTCTACATTTTGCCAATCCCACATGCTTTTTATTTCGTACTTCAATCTGTATAGATTTCGATTAGATATCCTTCTTACTCGACAACCTTACTAAAAGGGAAGACGCAAGATTAACAAAGGTATCATAAATATCAGGTATTACAAGAATTATAGGTCAATAAGATACCAGTTATATTAGTTATCGTACTACTAC